TATATTTTTAAAAGGAAAAAAATGTGATGCTTTCCTCTAGCTATTATTGTAAAAATAATGAGATTTTTTTTCTCTGTATGATAATCGTGATTATGATGATGATGGAACGGAAATGTTATGAGAGAGCGAGAACGAGAGAGAGAGAGAGAAAAGAAAAATTTCCTCACGAACAAATGAATTCTGGTGATGGTGATGATGATGATTTTGTCGTTCATTGTATTCTAAACCTAGAGAATATGTTGTTGTTGTTGATGATGACGATGATGATGATGATGTTTTGCATGATAATTTATTAATATGTCAATAATAATCTTTAGAATCAAGAATATATGAAAAAAATGAATGGATGAAGATTGTCGATTTTAATTTCAAATTCTTCTTCAAATCCGATCTTGAGGTCATTATTACTTGTTGTTGTTGGAATATAAAAATTTATTCCTAAGGAAAAGAGAGAGAGAGAGAGAGAGAGAAATTATTCCATTATCATACAATATGTTGATGGAATCAAAGAATAAAAAGAGAAGAAGAGATAATAGTAATGTAAAGAATAAAAAGAAAAAGAGAAATTTTTTTCCATAATCACCATCAAAGGAATGATAATCGAATGTTTGACTTTGTAAATGATTCTTTCTTTCTTTTTTCCTTTAGCTAAATTCATCCATGTTCATTCATTCATTCGCATAGTACTGTAGTTAAAAAACAAGAATTGAATGTGAAAGAAAAAAAAATTCTATAATTGCTCTCGATATCTTGTGCCCATCGTACACTAGAATCAAGCATGTGTGTGTGTGTTTGTATTTGTATATACCATTAAAAAATGAATTAGAAAAGAATTTACCCTCCTAGAATTTTCTATGCCACATTGAAAATGTGTGTGTGTGTGTGTGTGTATTGTATACCAATAGCTTTTTAATTTTCAATTTCTGTCTTGCAACCAGAATAAAAAATCTTATTGTTGAATTGCTAGAATTAACTGTGTAAATGAAAGACAGTTTATGTCAACAATATGGTGATGATGTTGAAAGTAAATTTTAGTTAGAAAAAAAATATTAGATTATTAAAAAAAAAATAAAATGTCCAGAATATTTACATGACCAATATACACAAACATATAGCATATAGAAAAGTTATTTCCAATTTCAATTGCCATCATCATCATCATCGTTGTCGTCGTTTAATATATATTATATTTGTGCTGAAAAACATCAACAAAGATCATCGAGATCAAATATGAGGGCACTATCAAAGAATTTTCTGCATTTTTTTATTAACTTCTTCATCATCATCTTCAAGTTTTTTTTTGCTTCTCTCTACCCGGTTTTAATACCGTGATCATCAATTCAAATAAAATTCTATAGAACGATGCAGAAAAAAATAAAGAAATAAGTTGAATGGAATTCTTATGGACACACATTCATGACATGGACGATCAACGGGATCGGTCATCATCATCATGATTCGATTACCAAATGGTCAATGGCTTTTTTTTTGGTTAAAAAGAAAATTTCTCATTTTCTGAATTTTTTTTCACTCTCATAACGCTATTATATTTTTTTTCATATATGAGAATTTTGAACATTTGATTCCTTGAATTTTGGAACATAATAATATTGTTAAATACAACAATGTCAAATAGAATCATTTTCCAATTATTATTTCAACAAAGTAGTTCATGATGACCCAAATGATTCACGATTCGTAACACCTGGATGGACTTTGATTTTCTTTTTCATTCATTCATTTAATCATCAGTATTAAAGATGGCAGATGTGATCATTTTGAATGTCTGATGTTCATTGAAAATGATATCATCATCATAATAAACTCAATGTCTAGGAATATTGCGACGAAACAAGTCAATTTTATAGATTCTTAGAATGTGAAAAGAAAAAAAAACATAGAGAAAAACAACGTATACATTTACATCTCATATAATATACACTCATATAAAGCTATGGCTATAAATTTCAAACGAATACGAAAAACGATCTATGCTGAATAAAAAATCGTCGTCGTTGTCTAGAATAAAAACTTCGATTCTCCTTGATGGATGTATGTTTTAAATTTACGAGCTTGATACACATACACACACACTCATTCACATTCGAACGACAAAATTCTTAGTCTTGACCAATATTCCAATGTCCTAAGTGAAGGAAAAAAACGGAATCAAATGAAATTCTCAGTCAATCGGGTTGATGCTTTGTTGTTGGTCACATGAAACTATTTAAGATTTATCTTTTTATACAATTAATTTCTTCTTTTTTTTCCTATCCTTTTTTTTCATTCTTTATTTCAAAAAAAAAATCATTCTTTTGTATTTTTTTTTCTCATATTTTTCTATCTATTCTCTAGCTCCAGTTGCTCCCGATAAGAATTCGTTGCTTTCGGTCAATTACACTATGGTTACTATTTATCTTGATTCATTTCATGATGGTAAGTTTTTTTTTCTCTTTTATATTCTACATTTGAAAACATTTTCTTGAATGCGAATCGAACCGTATATATACCGCTAACAGAATAAAAATAATAATAATAATCATCATCATCATCCTTAATGTTCATTTACTATCATCTTTCGTTTTTTTTCGCTCATTCTCATTCTCATTCTCATTGTTCACTATGTTTTCATCGTATTTCTTTTTTCTCTTTTTTTTGTTACCCTACATTTTGACAATGACGATCAAAGGCGGATGTAAAATAAACAATTTCGAAGTGATGTACAAAACGGATCGATTACATAACTGGACGCCGTTGACAATGTCCGATCAACGAACTATTGTGCTCAATGATCTACTGCCAGGACATAAATATCAGATTCGAGTGACGGCATATAATGAAGCCGGTAGTACTGAGGCTGAATATCATTTTATCACACCAATGTCTTCGTTACAAAGTAATAATTATAATAATAATAAATTATTTGGATTTGCAATCCTTTTATCTATTCATTTTTTTTGTTTCATGTTCACAGATGATCAAGCAATTATTTTGATGGGTTCTAGATCAACATCATCGGTACCATTTTATGCCGATGTTTTGGTTGTTGTACCATCGGTCATTTCATTTGTTGTCATTGTCGTACTATTATCACTTGTTTATATCATTTTTACTAGAAAACCTCGACATACAAATAATATTTATGGTAAGCCTTATATTTGTTACATTGATTGAATTTAACATTTTTTTTCTGTCTGGTTTTAGGCAATTTTAATGATCAAAATAAATTTACAACTGAAGGAAATGAATCTGTCATTATGGGCGAATTGGAGGCCAAATATGCTAATAATTTAAATGGTGGATTCAACACTAATACTGACCTTAAAGGCTATCAAATCGCTGGTAATGGTGGCGGTTGTGTAGCCACAATGAATCAAAATGTTGTTCATTTTCAAAGCCCATATGCAATGTCTAATATACACGAAAAGACAGGAAATGAGGAAAGATATCCGCTTAATCATTTGAACATGTCACCAATGAAGGCGGCAAACGTGAGTATTATTATTTTAAATATATGATTTCATATAACTAATCAAACTAATATCATATAATACAGTATTCGATTGAACATGATGGAATCTATGCGACGGTTAAACGAACACCAAGGCCACCAAGATCCGATGTGCACATCTATCAATTTCCTCGTATGACACGGATAATACCGCCTAACGCCTATAGTGTTGTTGATGATGATTAGTGTTGCACAAAAACAGTTCCCATCATTAGAAGCATGTGTTATGAAGCAGATTAGTGTTTGACGATATTTCCAGAGTAGATGAATCATCATTTCCTTCATCCATTCAGAGATAATTCAATTGTACCATCGACACTATAGCCATTGTAGTTTTTCATAGTTCATCTTTTTTTGATTAGAAATTATTATCCAAATATAACTAATTCATTCTTATTCTAAATTATATCAATTTTAGGTGGCTCAACAATGGCTACAACCACAGCCGTTGCAACGACCAATGATATTATCAACCTTGATTCCGAATCATTCGATTCACCAACACCAAATAATGGTGGATGTCCAATATCGAACAACAATATCAACAATATTGGAGGAGGAATGGAATCATCAACAACGAGTACGATCAACCAACATACAGCCAACAACCATTCGAATAACCAAAACACTGCCAATTGGCGAACAACAACAGCTAACACAACGATAGTTCAACGATTTGATCCAAAGGAACATCATCATCAACAACATCAAGAAACAATGGCTCATATGAAAAAATTAACCGAAATTCAATATGGACATAAATCATTGTTCCATGAATGATCTCTATAACACTGAAATACTGAACATATTTTATTCGAATGCAAAAAAAGAAATGTTTGAAAATCAAAGTTTTAATTGTTTCTATCGTGCTTCTTTGTGCTTATATATGGAATATTTTTCTAAATGATGAAAGAACACTTATTTAATTTGCTCATTTTATTCATTCATGATGCTAATGATGATGATTTTATCCAATTTTTATCCAATGTTCTGTTCTGTATAATTCTGTTCATTCATTCATTTATTTATAGACAACAAATAATGTTTTACAACCGATCCGCTGAACGATTGTATCAGCCAATGCATACCTTTTTTTTTGCTGCTATTTGTTTGCCAAAATGGCTGATTGATTATTATTGTTGATTGATTATCGATCAATTAAATTTATCAGTTGATTGATTTAATATTAATAAAGCCAAATTTTTATTGTGAAAATCAATTATCAGTCTTGAATTTTTGAAACCATTACATTCGATTGTTCGAATATCTAAATAAAAATGTTTTTTGCTGCCATCTATCCGATTAAAATAGTTATAGGTTATCTTTAAAATTTTGATTTTTTATAAATTGTGTATTTTTTTATGTTTATTAAATGTCGAGCACTTCAATATTAAATGTCGACCTTTAGACAGATTTGAAGTACATTTGAATGATATACACTCATTATCTTTAATGATCTTATAAGAAGATGATGATGATTCTTTTTATCATCAAGGATTAATCAATCAATCTAGTTTTAATTTACAAATCCTTAATCCAAAAATAATCAATATTTCCAGTTCATTTGTCTCTGTTGTTGCCCAACTGGTGTATGGAGAAAACTTTTTAATGTCATTTATAATCATCTAGAAGCTTATTCATAATATTTCATAATTGAATTTTCTTCTAATCATTCTGGAAAATTGTCATAACATCATTATTGTCTGAAACAATGAAATTCTTCCTTTTTTTCATGTTTATTGGAATGACTTTGGCGATGCCAAATCCAATTGCTAAAGGTTTGTTTATCCATCAATAGAATGAAAAGTGAATTTATCAATTTATCATCATTATAGACACTTACAACAATAAAGTTTCTGAATTGTTGATTGATCGTGCTCGAACATTGGTTGAAAAAGCTAAACATGTCATCGATGAAAATAAAGAACAACATGAAGATTTACTATCATCGATTAAGAATCTTGTGGAACAAATTGAAACATTGTCGGATAAATTTGAAAAAGAATATCATGGATTAGATTTGACCAAGAATGAAATCCATACAATGAGTGAAGAATTATTACACTTCGAAAATCGATTGACTGAAGAATTTTTGATTTTTTACGAACATATTAAACATAATGATGACGATGATGAAGATGTTGATCATCTAATCAAACGTGGTGAAGAATTGATTAAGAAAGCACATGATGTACTACGACAATATCATCCGGATTACAAGACAACAGCTGTGGTAGATTTTGAAATTGCAGCTGTCTTAAAATTGATAAAAATTGTTCGACATGGTGATGAAGAGACAAGACGTAAATATATACCAGAATTAAAACATCAATTACGATCATTGGAAATTATTTTAGAAAGAATTAGGAAATGATATGGGTTACTTGTTTAATCGTAAAAAAATAAAGAAAAACATTAAAAGAATTTATTTATTTAATCATTATTGATTGACAAGATGTCCGGCCAAAAATGATTTGATTTCTTTGACCAAAAATCCAACAAATAAATCAATCTTTGTATTTGAATCGGATGTTTGCTTTATCATATTTAAAAATAATTCGGAAATTTCTTGATTGTTTTTAAATACAGTATTCATTGGTTCCAATTGAAAATTGAATTCATGATCATTAATCAATGCTTGAAATTCTTCTATAATATCTGATTCGAATATATATGATGAAAATAATGGATAAATAAAAGTCGGTTTAGTAGTTGTCGGTGGTGGTGGTTGTTGTTTTATAAAAGTCGTCGCTTTAGTTCGTATGATCATCATTGTTTTGATGAATGCTGGATAAAAATATGGCCATTGATATTGTGATAGAACCATTATATGGCCAATAGTAAAATCCGTAATTGAAGATGATAATAATATAATACTTGCATCGATTAATAATGCAATGACATTTTCTAATGTTGGACAGAGAAATATCATTTGTCTTGAATTATAATATTCATTGGCCAATTCTATACTACAATAATTAATCTCTGATTTTTCGTTACCATTCTTGTCAAATAGATTTTTTGTTAATTGATAACCAAAAGTTAGGTTTGGATCACCTGAATCATTTGATACTGATGAACATAAAAGATCGATGATTTTGATGACAAATATAGCAGCATCTTTGGATTGGTTTAATTTTATACTCAATGTAAGATATTGTATATAATATTGGAGCCAATATAAGAGATTGGAAAAATTATTGTTAACAATGTCTCTATATTCGAAATTTTTCAAAATCTGCATTGCCTCATGGTAATTGGCTTCATGTAATGAATGACAAATTTTGTACTGAAGAAACCGACAATTTTTGTGAAGATCAATTTGAGCGATGTAGGCATCAAATTCTACGTATGAAAAAAACAGTTGATTAGCAATGATAAAATTAATAGATTATGATACACATACCTTGTTTGATAAAATCAATAGAAACATTAAATTCAAGCAACAATTGAACATCTCGTATCAGCTCTTTATCCGCAGCGATCAAACATGGAGCATAGCTCATCAGTTTCCGTTTTTTCAGATTCAAATGGGCCATAGCTTTTCCATCAGAATATCCGGAAAGTTTTTCGCAAATGATACAATTTTTAATCTTGGACATTGATCGACAAAAAAGGATTGTGAACAATACGATCGAATAGAAACCGATTTTCCGGTAGTTTGATGGATCCATTTTAAAACTGAGATCAAGAACTTCATTGTCACGACAGAAACATTTATGAATATACGAAGATAATGTTTCTAAATTCGATTCGATTCGCGATAAATCCAATGAATTATCGTTCTTATAAATATCCCACTTTTTATGTTTACCAATCAAGGTAACCATTTCGATAAGCTTCTTTTCTAGCAAAGGTCGTTTCGTTTGGATATTTTCTATTATAAGAAAAAAAGTGAATTAATTGTAACAATTGACAACTTGCTACTATACCTTGGTTATCATCAAAAAAATCTTGAATAAAATATTTTAGCCCTATTAGAAAATGTTTTTCTAATATGGATTCATCAAATGTTTCGTAGTAAGATTCAGATGAAAACAGTACAGGTAACACATGAAAAGTGTACTTTTCACGAAGATATTCGATAATTTTTGGTTCTAAAACATGGGAGAATTTTTCAATGATTTTGATCAATGCCATTGCTGCTTGTATAATATTATTATGAGGATATTGTATCAAAATGAATATATATAAATCGATCAATTGTTCTATCTTATCCGTGTGAAAAGAACAAAATTTAGTTACAAAATGGATTCGATCTTCAACTTGAAATTGTTTCCAAAGTTGATAATAAAATTTTGCATCACTCATATTGACATTAAATAAAATTTCAAAATCTTGTTTCTTCAGACAATGTCTCCATTGGTCACTAATTGAAAATAGAATGCATTTCATTTCTTCGATGAAAAAATCCTTAAAAGCATTTGTTTGTTCTAAATTATGACGCTTTGAATTATCGGTTAATTGATTCCATAGTTTACTATTACCGAACAAATCGGTAAAATTTTTGGATGCATTGTCATAATCCTTTTCTAGTTTGGACATTTTATACAATTCTACCTATAAATAAACAATGATTTTTAAATTAAATCATAATTATTGAAAAACCTACTTTGATCAGGAAATTATCATTATCTATCGCTCTGGCTGCCATCAAATAGGATTTAGCAAGTGGATAATTTTTCTGTTCGATTATTTTCTTGGCTTTCTCAAGAAAATAACTAAACGGTTTAATCGACTTGGATTCTTTGAATTTGGTCATTTTGTTTTTAAAGGTTTAATCTGAAAAAAAGAACTCTCAAAATTCATGTATGGCTATTGTTATTTGAATCTGCCCAGTTCTTGATCAACATAGGTGATCAGCTGATTGAATTTCCAATGTGTTCTTCCAATGGGATGAACGATTGAAAGAAAATTTCAATTTTATACCGAATTTATCTTGAGTTATTCTTATTTTTTTGTTCCTTAAAATTGAAAAATTTACGAAAAAAATGAACGGTTTAATTTTTATCATATCATTTTTGATCCTTGAGACCGATTTTGTTTTGAAATACTTAAATTGTCAAGTAGTTTTTGAACCGATAAGATTTTTTTTTGTTATGTACCTGCAAAGTTGCTTTTAGATCCGTTTCAATTTTTTTAAAATCATCTTGTCTTGATTGGTCATAAAGGAGCCATTTCTTTGTAATATAACGTTAAACAAAAACAAAAAAAAGATGAAATTCCTATTGGTTTTCGCTATCTTGGCCATCACGGTTTTTGCTCAAGGTTTGTACGAAAATGAATTTCTAATCAAAGTAAAAAATCATATTTGTTTTCATTTTCTAAATAAAAATATAGATGATTATGGCGAAAAGAAATTCGCCAAACAATTGCTCGAAGATTGTGAACATCTTAATCAAATAGCTCTTGGATTAATAGAGGAATATGAACGTCACGAGAAAGGTCATTTATTGGAAACGGTCAAACATGAAGCCGGAATGGTGAAACCATTGATTGATGAATTGAAAGACGACAGTGAAAAAACGGATTCGTTAAAACACCTAGCTCGATTGCATGTGATTGAAGAACGAACGTTGTATCTGGAGAATCGAATCGATGAAGAAATAGAAATCGTACAGGAAATAACCTTTGACTATAAAAATCGACAAATGACTGTTAAACAAGTTGCCGAAAGAACTAAAATTTTGATCAGAGAAGTCAGTGAAGCATTGGAAGAGAATCAAGTGACACGTCGCAACCGAGAACCAGTTCAATTCGAATTGGAATTGCTGAATAAAATGATTAGGAGATTAGAATATGAAGATCCAACTACGATCGCTGTCACCGATGAAGAACGTTTGGCACGTATTGAAAAAAGCTTGTACCAATTGATCAAACATTTGAAACCATTACCTACCCCCACAACACCTGTTCCAACTACAACGGTACCACCAACTACGGAACCACCAACAACAAAACCACCCACAACAGAACCACCAACTACGGTACCACCAACAACAGAACCACCAACAACAGAACCACCAACTACGGTACCACCAACTACAGAACCACCAACAACAGAACCACCAACTACGGTACCACCAACTACGGAACCACCAACAACAGAACCACCAACTACGGTACCACCAACTACGGAACCACCAACAACAAACCAGAACCACCAACTACGGTACCACCAACAACAGAACCACCAACTACGGAACCACCAACTACGGAACCACCAACAACAGAACCACCAACTACTGTTCAAACTACACTTTCAACACGTAAAGATGAAAATTTGCATACAACTGAATCTCCATAATATGATTTATATGAAAAGAATTTATTTTATTTGTTTCAGTTGAATTAAAAAACTTTTTAAAAATTCTTTTATCAATACATCAGTGAGCATGCTCAGAATACAAGACAATTTCGTCATTGAATGTTTGAGTATCGAGCAAGTTTTGATTCTAAATTATTTTATTATTTATTTTCGACCCATATATTTTATCATGGTATTACGAATTATTATCAATTTTCTTAGCCGTTTCGCTAACAGCGAACAGATGATCCAGAAGCTATCTGAATCATATCCTATTCGAAGATCAGCTCAAATGATGGCCTATTTTTATCACCGAACTAAAGGAACAATTGAATCGGGTTCGATACAAGGAAAGCTTCCACCTATCAACAATCGAATATTAACATTTAAGAATCGTTTTATGAACGAATTTCGACAAGAAATGCAAAATTCTAAAAACAAGATCAAAAGATGATGATTAGTGATATTGTATTACTTCTTATTACCTCTAATCAATGTTGTAAATGAATGTTATCCTAATTGTGATATTGGATTTTTTTTGTAGAAGATACGATTTTTAATCGCATAAAACATGTCGAATAAATGAATCTTATCTAGCATAATTTAACCTCATGTGAAATTTCAAAAAATCTGGTGAAAATTCAATTTTGTCATATATAATCGATTGTATCGATTAATGGTCATATTTTTCAAGTGTTGAGTTGTATACAAGTTCTTTCACAGAAAAAAAAGTAGGGTTAGTACTAACCCAAAATGGTTAGTACTAACCTGCAATGCTAACCCACAAAGGTTAGCACTAACCATTTTGGGTTAGTTTTTTTCATACACACCATACAAGTACTTTTCATGTATAAACCTATCATAATAATTTTAAAAATTGATGCAATGATGAATATGAGAAAGAATGATTTGAACTTGAAACTAATACTCTGTCTGTGGTCGGTTGTTTTTTTTCTCTCTCTCTTTCTCTCGGTATGATATATGAATGAAGTATAAAAAACGTAAGTTTGATTTTCATATCATTTCAATTCACCACAACTTGTCCTTTATTTAATTTCAATATTTTTTTTTCATTCGAGTAACGATTCAATAATAATATCATTATCAATTAACAAAATGGAACCACAAATTGGACATCAATCAATCGAACACCGCCTACAATAAATTGTACAATAATGAGAAATGCAACACCGAATCCATTACGTTCGTTTGTGGGATTTAACCGGACAACAACAACAACAACAACAACACCTTCATTATCACGTGATGAATCGCAAACATTGTTAAATTTTTCATTGGAAGATGCATTCGATTATATTGAATCTTATATAGTTGATTCCGGAATCGATTTTAATGTTTTTCAATTTAGTCAACGTCCAGTATTTGTGACATTTGTACGATTAGCTAAATCAAATTTGAAAAGAATTATCGATCCGATGTGGAAACAAACTTTAAAATTAATGATTACATATTGATTCGAAGGAAACATTTAAAAAATCAACCTTGGATTGGTCCATTTAAAATCGTGGATATATAAGCTATTTGAAATTATTGGTCATAATCAGAAAAAGATTATCGTGCATGCTAATCAAATGAAATCGTATATCGGTGATTGTTCTGATTCTGATCTGTACCAGCTCGTGGAAGACCAAGAGAGTCCATCTGAAAAGGGGGTGTAATGATATTTATGAATGTACTCTCTTGCTCATAGTTTAAAAATATGTTCTTTGAGCTCACTCCAATTTTTATATATTATGATCATTGAATGATTTGCCTTGATTGAAGTATATTCATATTTTCTGTCTTTGTGTTTAATTGAAATAAAAATTATTCCGTTTATGAAATAAACTTGCTTTATTTTCATGTCGTGCTAATTAATCTCTCGGTACTCTATCCAACTTTATTATAGAACATAAAAGGTCAATTGCAAAAATTTATTTCTCATTGGACTCATTTTCAAAATTAAAAATCTTGGTCGACCAAGACAATTTTAGCCTCTGTGATGATTTATTGAATACAAGGAATCATTTCATCATCAAGATATCAGATCACAAACAAAGGACATGCCATGTTTGTATAAAAAAACCAGAGTATCAATGGGTCTTGTACAACAAAGGTTTCTGTTTAAATGATTTTAAATCATATTATAGTCAATTATAAAATAAAGACACTGCAAATTGATGTATTTTTAATTTATAAAATGATTTCTATGAGAAAAACCAAATATATCAATTGTATTTGATGAAATAACAATAATATCCAATACAATATGCAATTTTTGTTGTCTGTGTGCCCATGATCCTATATATAAGATGAAAGTTCAAAGTTCAATTTCTCGAAATATAAAAATTTTAAAAATGAAATGTCATATTTGTTTTTATCTCATGACTTATTTTCCTGTTTGCAAATGTGTATCTGATGTTTCACAAATTTTTACCAGTCACGCCAACACTTCATCAATATTTTTTGCCGCCAGTGAATCAATAGCTTCTCGGTGTTTTTCGAATATTTCACCAATTTCTTTTTTTCGCCTATGATAAAAATTTTTTAAGGCCTCGCGATTTTCTCGGCCCTGTGTGCTGGTATGTATTATTATACAATTAATACAATTAAATTTAGAAGAAAATTTAGATATAAATGTGTATGTAAATAATTGGGGGGCAAATTTATAAGTGATTGTCCACTATCCTCCCCAACAAATAGGTTTTATAAGCGAGGGGGAGGCAAATTTATAAGTGATTATGCGCAAACCACTATCCACCCCCAACACTGACTATTTTTTAAATTACTTTAAGCGCAAGTGTAAATGTGTATATGAATAATTGGGGGGCAAATTTATAAGTGATTGTCCACTATCCTCCCCAACAAATAGGTTTTATAAGCGAGGGGGAGGCAAATTTATAAGTGATTGTCCACTATCCACCCCCAACACTGACTATTTTTTAAATTACTTTATGCGCAAGTGTAAATGTGTATGTAAATAATTGGGGGGCAAATTTATAAGTGATTGTCCACTATCCTCCCCAACAAATAGGTTTTATAAGCAAGGGGGAGGCAAATTTATAAGTGATTATGCGCAAACCACTATCCACCCCCAACACTGACTATTTTTTAAATTACATTATGCGCAAGTGTAAATGTGTATTGTGATAATTGGGGGGCAAATTTATAAGTGATTGTCCACTATCCTCCCCAACAAATAGATTTTATAAGCAAGGGGGAGGCAAATTTATAAGTGATTATGCGCAAACCACTATCCACCCCCAACACTGACTATTTTTTATATTAACCCAGGCGGCCGCGATGGGATTTGAACCGACGTCGAATGTGTATATGCGTGTATATGTGTTAATGTGTGTAAATGGGGGAGGCAAATTTATAAATGATGGGGTAATTTTCCCCCAGACCATTATCCTCCCCCATAATATAGAACGTAATTATGGTCGTATATAACAATCATATTTTACGACATTACAGAAATACTTCGCTTAACGCTGCCCCGATTAGCGCTGTTTCGATATAACGCTGTGCAATTACATTACATTGCAATACATTGTTACATTGTATATGAAGAGTAAAAATGCATTATGTAAATTATGCAAAAATAACCCCGCTTTGCGCTGTTGTTTCGCTTTACGCTCAATATTTTTGGAACGTAACCCCGCGTTAAGCGTTGTTTTACTGTATATTTGTATTATATCACTGTATATATGTAGCATTACTGGCTGCGCATGCTCCTGCCTATTTCTACTTTCCCCTATTTCGACCGAGAATGTCGGTGAGAGAGAACGAGCACGTTTTTCAGCCGAAAATTCCGAGTCAGGATACTAATAACCTTTTTACTTTCTTTTCTGTGTATACACGAACACTAACACACACAACTCGACAACAAATAAAAATCCGATTTTCACAAACGATCCCACGACATATTTATTATTAAATATTGTTCGTTTTGCATTCAATTGATTCTCACTACAACAATGGTTCATCATTATTATCAATTTGTAGAAACCATAAAGGTGATAGTCCAATTGTATCAGTAAAAAAGATGAATAGGTTTGTTAAATATTTATGTTTCAAATTAAATTGGTTATAATTTTTTTTCTGTTAGCTGTTCGCTATTATTAGGCATTGATAATCTTTTGGTTTGATTTCCATTATTACGTTATTTTGCCTATTTTCAATCATACAACATTCTCTTATTGTAACATTGAAGAAATCTTTTCCAAACGTTTTGCGGTTCTGTCTCTGTGCATTTTTAGTTTATGGGTTAGTGTAATTGTTCATCATTAGTTTATGAAAAAAAATTGTTTAAAAATTTCATCATTTTACAGAGGATTTTGTTTTTGTGGTTGGGTCGTTTTTGGTCCTCATCTCAAATTTCGTACGCTAAGCTAACATTGGAATGTTTGTTTTCACTTATGAACGGTGATGATATGTTTGCTACATTTTTTTCCATTGATGTGAAAAATCATTAAATTGAAATTCGATTGATGATTATGTTCGAGATCAATTCGGCGGTTCCATTGTTCATCAGCATCCAATTCAAGAATAGTTTGACCATGTTCAACACATGATATCAGATTAGGCTTAGGACATGGTCTGAACTATTTCCTATTGAATTTGATGCTGATTGAATCTTTGGAATCAATGAAGCGATCGAAAACATAATTATAAGTCGAAGATTCATGGGATGGAACACATACTTGAAAATGATCATGGTAAGCAAATGAATAGATTAATTGAACAAACAACTAATCACCTTCACTTAGGATCGCCGGCGAACAATTGGGAAATTGAATCTCGAACCACGAATAGAATTTGGACATTGTCTTGGAACATGGACCGCGAACATTGGATCTATTTCAAACGGGACAATTAACGTTGTATGGCGCAATTGGGATGTGAAATATAGATGTATTTTATTATTTCTAATATTTTAATAAATTAATATATCAATAAAATCAATTAAATTTCAATATATCGATTAAATTTTAATGGGTGGTAAAGGCAATAAAAAGGGGAAAAATTGCTGCAACAATCGCGTGATGAACGACACAATCGATGATTTCGATATATCGTTGCAACAATCGCTAGGCAAAATTGCTCATAACCCAAATTGGTTAGTACTAACCTTTTTACTTTCTTTTCTGTGTTAATCCGAAACTATAGAAATTCCAAGATTTTTGAAACAAATCTATCTGATAATAATGGCAAATGAAACATCCAAATCGGACATTGATTACACTATATTATTACCGACATATAATGAAAACGAAAATTTGCCCATAATCGTTTGGTTGATCATCAAATATGTGAAGTAAGCTATTTTTTCTTCAATCAATTGTTTTATTCTCTCTTATTTTATGAATATTTTCCATGTAGAGATTATCGATACGAGATTATCATCATCGATGACAATTCACCCGATGGCACATTGGACGTAGCCAAACAACTTCAGACTATTTATGGCGATGATAAAATTGTTTTGAAACCAAGAAAAGCTAAACTAGGACTTGGAACAGCCTATCTTCATGGATTAAAATTTGCTCGAGGCAAATTCATCATTATCATGGATGCTGATTTATCACATCATGTAAGTAGAACATTATCATGATATGATTGAGGTTTTTGATAACAGATTTTTGTCGATTGTTTTTTCATGTAGCCCAAATTCATTCCAAGATTCATTGAAAAACAAAGAGAAACTAACAGTCATATTGTCACAGGGACTCGCTACGCCGGTGATGGTGGTGTATATGGCTGGGATTTTAAACGTAAATTAATATCTCGTGGTGCAAATTACCTAACACAAGTGTTATTACGTCCTGGCGTTTCAGATCTGACCGGCAGTTTTCGTTTATATCGCCGAGAAGCATTGGAAAAATTAGTTGAAAGTTCTGTTTCAAAGGGTTACGTTTTTCAAATGGAAATGATGGTTCTGGCTAGGAAATTTGGCTACGAAATTTCCGAAGTACCAATTCAATTTGTTGATCGTGTTTATGGACAATCAAAAATGGGAAGCAATGAAATCATTCAATTTGCCAAAGGTTTACTATATCTTTTTGCAACTCTATGAATATTATGTGGCACAGAAAAATATTTTTTTCTACATTCGACATCAAATAAATAAATAATGATTAAATGATCAATGATTATGATTATTTTTTTTTTAAACAAAATAAAAATTTACATGATTAAAAAAAATTTAAATACCTGCTCTATGAATGGACCAACTGCTAAAAATAATCGCACATTTTTCCACGCGTGATTTTTTTTCAGGCAAGATTTTTCTTAAAATCAATTTCTGAGGATAATATTGTCAACGAAAAAAAATGAAAAATAAATTGCCACGGTCAAAATCATCTTCATCTAACGATAATAGTGATGGTCAGAAAACAGATGAGAAAACATTTGTCATCGAGAAGAAAATTCATGAAGCTGTTGATGTTCTGAAAAAAGTGGTAAATAATCAAAAGAATTCAACGAACGATGAAGGCAAAAAACGATTGTTTGAACAGGATACTGATTTTGTTTTTCTACAATTTTCATTGAAAAAAGTTCCATTGAATAATTCAACATATATTCATTATATTCCATTAAAATATCATTGGCGTCATGAATTAAGCTATGAAACATGTTTAATTGTTAAAGATAAAATGAACAACCATTAACTGATCGAGATGCGGATTTGGAACAAACAAAAGATTTTTATCGCAATCTTCTTGATGAACATTCAGCGAAAGAATTAATAAGTGAAATATTACCGATGCGTCAATTGTTGACAGAATTTCATCCACCTGCTCTTCGGAAAAGACTTTCCAATGTATACAACGTATTTTTATGCGATCAAAAATTATTACGTAACAAGCATTCATTTTTAAGCCGTTTTCTTGGAAAAGCTTTTTGGATCGATAACAAAAAAGTGCCCATATTGCTAAATTTTAATGATAAAAATCTAAAAGATCAAATTGAAAATAAATTGAATCAAACTTCACTTTATGTTTCGGGTAAAGGTTCTACACAAACCATTCGGATTGGTTCATTACAACAAGATACAGAAAAATTGACAGCAAATCTGATGGCTTGTTTGGAGAAAATCAAACAACTTTATGGTAACAATGTTCGTGATTTGGCAATCAAAACTGAAAAATCCAAGTCTATTATATTCTACATGGATCTTGGTTCGGCCAATGAAATTACAATGGAAAAACGTAAAGAAAATGAAATGGATGAATTTGTTGAAGAAGAATTTGATTTCATACCGAATGCTAATATTCGTGTATATAAAGATGGTCGAATTAGAATTGTAAAACGTGACGTTCCTGAAGAAGAAGATATTGAAGATGATTTGGATAATCTTAAAACTATCAAAGCAATCAACACTGAACCAGATGATGAACAATGGACACGACGATTGGTGTTTAATCGTCCGGAAAATTTGCGAAAAAGAAAAATTATTCAAAGACGTGTTTTCAAAAAAATCAAAACTAAAAACTCAAAAATAAGCAGTAATTTTATAATTTTTTTTTTGAATATTCGAATTAAAAAATTTTAACAAAAGTTTTTTATTTAATGTACGTAACGTCACTTATGTACGGGCAATGCAAAGCGAAAAAAAAACAATTTTGGCGCCTGTTTGCGCGCTTGTTGCTTGCTTTGCCAATGTTTTTAAACAGCCGATGAATTTTTTGACCTTTTTTCTCATTTTTTTCAAAATTCCAAACTTGACATCGAATTGAATGATGTATAATATTGTTTCAATTTTGCAGAATCGTCAATATCATTTGACGAATGGACGACATTCAAATTCATGTCCAATTTTACAACGAAATTTTCTACCACCTTCACGTTTCGATTCGTTGATGGTTGAGCAACATTATAATTTTATCGATTCTAATGCTACATGTGATTCACCGATTACTGCCATAGCTCATCGACCAAATAGTAGAGAATTTCTGTTGGCGAATGACGTTGGCGATATTGTTGTTCTGGAAAAATCATCTTTTAGAGAAATGAAAAAATTTCATGGACATAATTGTGCCGTATTCGATGCCAAATGGCGACCTGAACATTCGAATCAAATATTGACAGCAGCTGGAGATCGTAGTATAATTCTTTGGGATATCGATCGAACCGATCAATCATTGGCCAGTTTTTTTCCAGCACATCAAGGCTCAGTTAAAAGTCTTTCGTTTCATTGCCCAAATACGTTCATCAGTGGTGGGCGTGATGGTGCCATCAAAATTTGGGATCTTCGTACTTCCTGTATTCTAAGGCATGGACCAGTATTATCTATTCACGATCCTCACATTCATATTTTGCCATCGATTAAATCACCAAATTTTCGTTCATTAAAATTTCGTCGACAAAATCCCATTGCATGGGCATCACAAAATGCAAATTATCATCCTTCCAATGTTGTCACTTGTGTTGATTTCCATCCGATTAACAATAATTATTTCTATAGCTCTGGTATAGCTGATGATTCGATTAAAGTTTGGGATATACGTCAATGTCGACGACAATTCCAATGCACTATCGTGCCGACACCAACAAAAATTCATACGACCAAAAATATTTCATTAACATCAAGTATCCATGGATATTCATCCTTTTCATTTCCAATAATGGTTCGATATTATATGCTTCATCTACCAATGGAAGCATTTATGCATTCACTAGCAATTCAACGTATCCAGTTATGATTCTATCTGGACGATATTCTAATTCACAAACAAAAAATTTCACCATTTAGTGATGATTACCTATTAAGTGGTTCGACAAACAGCCGATTTTACATTTGGAATTGCAGTCTTCGAAAACCTTTTGATTCGAATGATGAGAATTTTATATCGATAGAAAATCGTTTACCGTTGTTTGAAATGAATTTCGATCATCAACAAGAATTATCATTAATATTTGGTGATTTCAGTGATCAAAACATTTATTGTGCATCCGAACCGCATGTTCTATGGAAATGGTCTTTCGGTATAGGAAGACATCAAAATTCGAATGAAGTTGAATACATGCAAGCTGGTTATCAGCCAACCCTTCAACGATTCAAAAATCCTGAAAATCATTCGAAAATGATAAATATTAGCCTGAAAAGAGCGTCATCATTTGAAGCAATCACTCACCGAAGATCATCAAGTTTAACAAGGCCATTATCAACCATTACGAACTGGATATCTTCAGGGACAAAACGATTCAAATCAAACGACAACAACAATAATAATAATGATGATGATGATTCAGCCGAATCGCCATCATCTATAAATGGTGATAGAAATATTGATAGTAATAATGATGGTCAGGAAAATCGAAGATCCAAATCAACATCACATAAATTAATAACTAAAAAATGTTCACAAACACGTGGTTTACGAAAAAATCTAAAACGGAATCTATTTAGCGATAATCGAAAAATTAGTGAATTTTTCACCAAATCTTCATAGAACACTGATAATGATTTAATAAAATTTTATTTTTTAAAATAAAAATAACCTTTCTATTGATGTCTGTGTGTCTGTATGTGAGTGTGTTTGTTTTGAGGAAAAAACAATTCAATAAATAATGTTTGAAGATCTTTTTCGGGAGAAAAACAAAATAAAATTAAAAAAATTGATAAAAAACGGATTTTTGATTGGGAATTTAGAAAAAAAATAGGAATGTGATGAGTTGAGGTTGATGATAATGATAATGAATGATGGATGACCAGGATACATGTGAGCAAATGTTATGATTTCAGTTCAATTTTTTCCGGATGAAAATGATAATGATATCTATCATACTACTTGGTATATTAATCTGATTATTATTCTTAATACATTTGTACCGGACACAATTGTTTCCAATCGAATGTTCGAATAGAAATCTGTCCATCATTTTCATCATCTTTAGCTTGTCCAACGTTAATAAGATTTACCGGTCCATTTGTTGAGCCGATTTTTGAATCATATGTTGATAGTTCCGATTCAGACATTCTTAAGCCGGCCAAGCTAAATTGAATTGAATTTTAATTTTTGTTTGGAAAAAAAATCTATAGATCAATTCTAATAGAATCGAATTGACTTACCCATTAGTGGCAAAAGATCCCCAGATATTCATTGTATATTTTTCCAATCCTTTTAGCCAATGATTAGTTTTAGAACCGAATGCAATGCTTATCTCTTCCAGAAGGTTGACTAAAACTTTTGGATCAACACGATAAATTGAAACCTGTGAGCTAACCCCTTTAGGGCTATTTTGTTCCTGTTGTACATGATACATTTTGACTAGTCGACATAATTTAACCATTTCATCTTTATCTAATTTCGATGGTTCCAATGTTTGTCGTTGTTTACGTTTAAGACTTCGACGCCGACGTCTTTCTTCTTCTTCTTCTTCCTCGGTTTCATAATCACCATCATTGCTTTCTTCAGCTTCATCCTTGTTATTATCGATTTTTGAATTGGACTCTGCCACTGCCTTTGAAGCCGTAGTTGTTGTTGATGATGATGAATTGTTGTCCATTTCTTTGTTCTCATTGTTATCACTATTTGTGTTCAAAATATACGAAACATAATGATACAAAATAAATACACGATCATGTTATTGTCGATATTGTTTATGTGTCCCAATTTCACATGTTTGGAACAATCATAGAGCTTGGGCGATGGCGATCGCGTGTCTCCCAAATTTATTAAAAATCAACATTCAAAATCAAAATGAACAGAAAATGACCACTGACCTTGTATCGCTTGTTTCATCGTCTTCTTCGTCTTTACTATCATTATCATCTCCATCATCTTTGTTATTGTTTTTTGCATCATCAATTGTATCGTTCGATGGCTTCTTTTCATCATCTTCTTCTTCATCAACAGCACTATTGTTATTCGATTCTTCGGTTTCTTCTTCGCTATCATTGTCACCAGTTTTCATCATCATATTCATAATCATCTTCACTTGAATCGCCGAATTTTATATAAGTAGTGATTTTATTATATTTCTCAAATTGATAGTCATCATCTGAATTTAAACCAAGCAATATTCTATATTCAGGATAGAATGATAATTACGAAAATAATAGGATCTTGTATCGTGTAATGGAATTTGATATACTTACTCATGATCGGGAGAGTAAATGTTCCATTTGTTGAACATTATTTCCAATAATGAGTCATTAAAACGTGATTCGGACACCATATTCTTAGCCTGGTCCCATATCTGTTTTGTTAATGGATTATAATCTGGCACAAATGGAATGGCAAATTTATCAATCAAATATTGTTGACCTTCCATGAATACGATCGATTGTATACGACTTTTTTCCATACACGCTCGTATATCGCGTGCCGAAACAGTTTCATCATCACAATTAGAATCTTCCATCAAAAATGGAACACTTTTAGTATTCATGCCGTAAATACCAATGTTCCAGATTCCTTGAACTCCTTGAAGAACTGCTCGTTTAAAATATTTATTTGTATCTTTATTCATCAAATGGAATCCAAGTGATATAGCGCCTGTTTATTGATAAATTGTATTGAAACTTGTTGGTTATTGTCAATTTTTAAAACATACCAGCACCATGACCAACAACGGTAACTTGATTTGAATCACCACCGAATGATCTGATATATTTGTGTATCCATTCCAATGCTTTAGCCTGATCTTGTAGTCCAAGGCTTCGAAAATTGTCATTATTTTCATCGGCAACGGATGATCCGAATCCAAATACTCCCAATCGATATTGCATAGTAATCACAATAATATCCTTTTCGGCCACCAACAGCGAAGGATCTAATTCTGGTGATCCAATACCACCAAATTGAAAAATGCCACCGTGAATGAAGACCATAACTGGCCTGCCAGTCATTTTGGCCGTTTTATTATTTTGGCCATCTTCTTTAAACGGTGTCCATATATTTAGAAATAGGCAATCTTCTTTAGTTTCATCACCCAAGCCTTTAACTTCAGTGATACTTAGTACAAAAGTACTCTGTCATTAATAAAATTATCGAAATCATTAACGTTATTATAAATCTCCGGAAACGTTAAAAAAATTATAACAATGGAAATAAAACAACATACCTGATAACATTTGATTGGTTGATAAAATGCTTCCAATGTTGAATTTTATTATTTTATTGAATTGTTTTAATTGAGGAGGTCTGAATAGACGTTGATGATCCACTGGAGGTTCAGCATATGGAATAGATAGATAACTGGCTACTAATTTACCATTGGCAACAGTACGAACTTGACCTTTGATATGAATGCCCGGCAATTGAATCAAAGGTTCATATTCAATCATCTCATCACTATAATATTGACGACGTTTGCCGTCTGTTTTACTCCTGGATGGATCACGTTGACTATTTGAGAATATTGATGATGTTGATAATGATGATGAAGCATTTGTATTTGACACATTATTACGATCACGCCGAGATAGTATGATTAACGTGACTAGAATGATTATAACGATAGCGGCTCCGATTAATCGATACCATCGTTTTCTTGATTGATTTTTTGTTGTGAATGTAGTCATCTTCATTTATATTATATTTGTTTTGGATTATTTATGAGAATGTGTTCACAGAATTATAATTGATTCATTTGGAAAGAAATTGATTTCATTCGAATTTACAACTTGTTGACTTTGACCAAGACTTTAAAAAAAAAGAAAATGAGAAAAATTGGATGGATCAAATGGAATGATCGATAATCTGCCGATATTGATTGTTCGTCGTCGTCGTCGTTAATGTTGTTGATTTTTATTGTACTGTTCGCGAGCAACAAGTGGTATATTTATTTAAAGTGGTCACATTTGCATTCACCAAATACAATGTTTGACATTGAAAACGTATATAAAAAGAGGAAATTTAAAATGCGAATGAACAAA